AAAAATCGTATCTATGTTCCGTTTTGGTGTAATAAGATACAAATTACAGAATATCGTATGCTCCTTTGTGAAATTTTACAAAGAAAAAAAAAACCTGCGCCAAAATATTCTTGATTTTTTTTCAGGGTCATATTATATATATAGACCCAAATCGACCGTTCTACCATTTATACCCATTTATGAAAATAAATCACAATTTTGAATCATAAATGACCACACATCATAATTGGTGCAGATTTTAACTCAAATTAGCCAGTTGTGAAGTAAAACTGTTATTAATTTGTCAGACTTTCCATTTAAATGACACAACTAATGAAAGCTGGTAGGAGGGAGGAAGATTATAATAAAATAAAAAACTTTGCCCAAGACAGGATGAAAATGAATATTCTGCGGCACAAAATGATGGAAACAATTTTCACACAAGTGAAAAATGGGCAAGTCGGAAAAAAAATCCTCCTAGTCCCCACCTTCACCCCAATATCAATTGATCGTCCCCTGTTATGAAGTAAATTCTACCAAAAAAATAGTCGTTAAACACATATATATTGGTGAATCGAACCAAACCATGTCTAAAGTATCATTATTTTGCCTTGCTCAACACTGTCACAAGCCTAAAGGTACCAGTGACGAGGGACAGAATCTGAACATTTTTACGTATTTGATTCAAACTGGCACACACTACTGTAAACAGGGAAAATTTCGCGGCATTTTTATTTTCGCTATTTTCGCGGTAAGAGTTGAAACGCGAAAATAAAACGACCGCGAATATTCCAAGGAAATCCGAACACGACCATGAAGACCATACATGAACGTATGTCATTAGGATATGTAGATGGCTAATTTAAAACATCGGTTTTACAGACGACAGATCTATACCGCAAAATATAACTTTATTTCTGAAGGAAAGTCAGTGTTAGATATCAAAACTTTATCTCATGATAGTCCTAATTAATCCAAGTGGACATTACGGATATTGCTAAATAAACAACTATCGTTACAGTTATGTAAATGACACCTGTCAATCAGTTTTAAAATGATTACCCATTGTATCTGTTGCACAGATCAATCAGATTAAAATATTAACTAATAAACAGTAATTCTGTCATATCGATCATGTTGTTATTCTATAAGAATAAAGTTTTTTTGTTTTTTTGTTTTTTTTATTTTATGAATAAAAAATGTGTTTTGTGTACTTATTGTGCTGTTGTTTATTACATCAACTAATGTACTTATGCAGATTAAATAATTATAATACAACATGATAATAAAGAAATATATGTTACTATGGATTTAGCAATTATTGTCAATTGTTAAGATAATTTAATAAAAAAAAGTGTCTTTGACACGTAGATGCGAAGTCCATTATCGGATTAGTAGAAACATACATCTTAAACATAAGGTAATTATATGGGAAAAATTGAGCTATTATAGATGACAGTTAAAAGATATAATTAGAAAAGTTCGAAAGATGATAGTCCAAATAATTGACATGCTTTTCGTGCGGTTATAATAGCAGCAACCCGTATATCTTCTCACCTATTACAAAGTGGTTTTTTCAAATCTTATTGTTAATCCGAGTGCCTGTAAGACAGTATTGCTCTTTGGAATAATAAAACAAAAAAAAAAGTATCAACTTAAGGTAGGCCAAGGAAAACTAAACAAGACTTAACATATATAAAATATAAATCCGAAACTAAAAGCAGAAGTTTACCGTCGTTACTTTCGTAGAAGATAACGAATTTCATGTAAATATATCATGCATTTTTGGACAAGAACATTTTAATGTGATAACAATATGAACCCTGCTTTGTACTAGAAAAGCACGTTGAGGCTTGCCAAGAAATCCTAAGATTTTCTGTTTTTTTATTGATCACGTGGTAAATTATAAAAAGATATTCAACAAACTACATTTGATTAATTAAAAACGTACAAGCAGATACTTATTTTCATTTAATGATCAAAAATAATTCGCTTTTGATGGCAGCTTAATTTCATCTTATTTATAATGATTAAAGATTTATTTTAGTACTTTTAATTAACTACGGAGATTACTGTATATGCAACTATTGCTTAGTCAAAGTCACTTCCTAATCAAGAAAAAACTAAACAAGACTTAACATATTAATAAATCTGAAACTAAAAGCAGAAGATTACCGTTATTACATTCATAGAAGATAACGATTTTCACGTCAAGTGCATGGCACATACATCATGCATATATCAGAACGGGAATATGTTAATGTGAATTTAATATGAACCTTGTTTTGTGCTATATATAAAATTGAGAATGGAAATGGGAAATGTGTCAAAGAGACAACAACCAGACCATAGAGCAGACAACAGCCGAAGGCCACCAATGGGTCTTCAATGCAGCGAGAAACTCCCGCACCCGGAGGCGTCCTTCAGCTGGCCCCTAAACAAATATGTACACTAGTTCAGTGATAATGGACGCCATACTAAACTCCAAATTATACACAAGAAACTAAAATTAAAAATGATACAAGACTAACAAAGGCCAGAGGCTCCAGACTTGGGACAGGCGCAAAAATGCGGCGGGGTTAAACATGTTTTTTGAGATCTCAAACCTCCTCCTATACCTCTAGCCAATGTAGAAAAAACAAACGCACAACAGTACGCACAGTAAAACTCAGTTCAAGAGAAGTCCGAGTCTTTATTACCAAAGTCTATATAAACTATAGGTGCACATTTGAATTACATCTACATCAATATTATATAAAACACAAACTATGTGACAGAATAGCAGAAAGAAAAAATACTAGAAAGATACACTGAGGCGGAAATTTTAACATGTTAGTTGATACGGTAACACTCTACAGAAATACATGTCACCTACCAGAATACATTATTCTGACTCTGAGGCGAACAGTCTTTCTCTTACTCCTTTAAGGTGGTACCCAACACCTTGACTAAAATTAATTTGGCTCGTTTAATTTTCATAAAATTTTGACATAATGTTTACTTTGACCCTTTGACAAAAATATAAAAATTTCAAAGAATTTGAACCAACCACTTTATCAGAAAAATTTCGTTGGTTATATAGCAGTTTGACAAACACTAATTTTGATCATTGAGAAGCGTAATATTTCCTTAACAAAACAACGTGATTAAAACGTTCAGCTGATTTTACAGAGTTATCTCCCTGTAGTGTTAGGTACCACCTTAAGCCACTTTAAAAGAGGAGGTAGATTGATTGTTTGTGTCTAAAGCACTTTTAGCTTTATTGGCTATATCATGATAAATGTTTGCTGGTTTTGAAAGCCGGAGTGCTCGGAGAGAACCACTGACCTTCGTCAGGAATACCGACGATTTGAGTCAAACGCACCTGCGACGTTCGAACCTTCCGAATTTGACTTATTACCGGGTTTGTACTAACATGAGCAACTCGACGGGTGCCACAAGTGGAACAGGATCTGCGTACTCTTCCTGAGCACCTGAGATCACCGCCAGTTTTTGGTGGGGTTCGTGTTGCTCAGTCTTTAGTTTTCTATGTTGTGTTTTGTGTACTACTGTTTGTCTGTTGGTCTTTTTCTTTTTTAGCCATGGGGTTGTCAGTTTATTTTCGACTTATCAGTTTGAATGTCCCTCTGGTATCTCTCGCCTCTCTTTTTCAATCTCAATATCGACAGGCTAGCGCTACAGTAGATGACCGATACCCCTTCTTAGTGAAGAAGCAGCAAACATCAAGTTTCAAGTCTTTGGTTTGATGGTTTGAAGACATACCCTCCCGCACAGGAAGCAACGTGACATTTAGGGGGAGGGGGTGTTATTGTGAAAATACAGAAGTGATAGCAATCATCCACTTGCAAGTCATAGCACAGAAAATAGCTGTTCTTATGTTTTTGATATTTAACAGAACAGTGTAAAAGCTGTTCCATTAGTTAAAATATCCACTCCATTACACCCCCTCCAAACCAAAACTACATTTCGAAAATTAAAATCACCTGGCAAAATCATAGACACTTTCAATTTTGATAAATCTAAAAATGAGAGTAACTCTTACATGTCTAAAGTATAAGTAGTGTATCACAAGCCTGTCAACGCTGAGGTTGTGAGTTCGAATCCCGCACATAGCAGGTGCGCTCGACTCTAATCTTAATTGACTCTAAGGATTGACAGTTTTCCTACCTATGGTTGATGGTTCTCTCTGGGTACTGCGGCTTCCTCCACAAATAAAAACTGACCGCCACGAAAAAACACAATAGTCTCTCCTCCTGGTTAATGTATATCAATATTTCACACATGCACTGTATATTATATTATATTGTTGTATATACTTTTTGTCTCTATAACTATGTCATTAGTTGATGAGAATAAAATTCATTCATTCATTCGCTGAAAGTAGCGTTAAACATCAACAATCAATCAATCAATCAATCAATCAATCAATCAATCAATCAATCAATCGATGAATCAATCTAAAGCATAAGATACAAGTTCTTTTTACGTCAATTCTCAAATGAAAATTAGTCAGTTAATTCTTAATTTTGCCTTAATAATTGCAAAACATATAAAATTGTGCATAAAATCCAAAATGGCGGGTCCAATATATACTCTGTTTCACAGCTTCCATCTTCTTTCATTTAAGTTTTATTTGTTTATTTCTATTTTCCAGAAACCAAACTGCACTGGAACTCTAAGAAAACAAATTCATCTATTCAGAAATAATGAATGCGAACTCGACAGAAACAGGAATAGATTTTTATAAAAGAGTTGCTGCGCAGACTCCAGCCTGGTTTCATTACATAACTGGTATCATATTACTTATAACAAACATAGGATCTGTAATAACGAATGGATCCGTCCTGATTGTACTGTTCGTAAAAAGCCGAAAGTTGCTGATCCGAACAAACCAATATATCGCGGTCATATGCTTCAAGTCGTTCATAATGTCAGTTTTTGGTGTTCCAATGGTGGTCGTGTCGTGCTTCAATAAAGTGTGGTTTTTCGGTGAAGCCGGATGCAAGTACTACGCTTTCCTGATGTCATATGGAGGATTAGCTAATATGTTACTTTTATGTTTGATTTCTGTCGAAAGATACATTTATGTGGTAAGACATGGACTTTCACAACATTCATCTTCGACGTTTAGTATTGTTGCCATTACTGTATCCTGTGCTATTGCTTTGGGTTTTGCCGTAGGTCCACTCGCCGGATGGAACCAGTACACTTACGAAGGCGTTGGAACGTCATGCGCAATGGACCTTATCGGAGAAGAAAACAATGGTCAATCGTTTGTGATTACATTGCTAGTTTTCTTTTTCGTCTTGCCTGTTATAGTAATGACATTTAACTACGGATCAGTTTATGCTAAGGTAAGTTTAAAAAAAATAGCAGAAGTGTTCTGACTTCGATTTTAAAAATCTTTGCCCGATATTTTATAATTAGATCTCCTTCTCAACTTCGCGGCAAATAGTAAATAAGCGAAAGGAGCCTTATTTGGTTTAATTTTTTACTGAAATTTGAACTTTCAATTTATATATGTTTTAAAGTTGAAATGTGACAAAATTTAAAACAAAGAGTTTTTTTTTACCCATGACGTTATATAGATACAATGGATAAGCGTGGATTCTTGAAAAAGAAACCATGAGCCCGGAGGGCGAATGGTTTGTTTTTCATGAATCTACGCTAATCCATTGTATCTATAACTTAAACTATTGTGTTAATTTCTTTTCAAAATTAAAGCCTTTTCTTAATTAGAAGGTATTGTAAGTGAGTTTGAATAACCATGTTATCGTGTCCAACGATGCATTGATAAATCTCATATCACAATTAATTGGTTAACAAAATACAAATATAACACTTCTACCTTTAAAGATCTTTATATTACCTGGCATATGAATATTATCTGTTTATACAAAATAAGACATATTCGAAATTATTTCTAATAAAATTGAAAATGGAAATGGGGAACGTGTCAAAGAGACAACAACCCGACCAAAAAGCATATATAAAGTATATATAATAAGTATGTTGTCGAAATTTTTCTAGCACTCTAGGCACATCACGATTTTCTTGCATAGGAATTTTCGAACAAACCTTTGAATAATAATGTAGTAAAACAGATGAAATCATACTATATTTATAAAACAAAAATTGACAAATAGAATGTAATCATTTTTGTTTCATAAAAAGTGAAATAGCCAATAATAATTAAAAAAAAAAACGGTAAAACTCGCTATTTTAACAAAACAATCCACTAAAACATGCAAAATTAGAAAAAAAAACCATGATAACTTAAGAATAGGAACAACAGAGAGAATACAGGGATTCGAACCTAAACCGACAAATCCCTATCTTTAACTCATTGATTTTAACCATGCTAACCTCGCGGCTACCAACTCATACTATACGACTGCCTATTGTGTCTTTATAAAGGTACAAGCCCTGTGTGTCCGATGAACCGATGTATATCAGATGTTCATTTAAATATATAAAATAGACATCTATAGTGTAACCCATTGGTAGCCGAGAGGTTTCGTCGATGTGTTGATGTCAGTCACACATAACAGATTTCAAGGAAGGGTTCGATTCCCAGTGAAGGCATATAAAAATTACAAAAATTAAAGGTAAGTTTTTAAATTAATTCCATTAGTGAACAGAAATCAGAAAATTAGCCAATTCAAACTTAATGAAATTAGGCACACAAAGGAAACAATTGAATATAATTTGGTGAGTCAATTTCAGCAGCAGATTTAGGAAGCGTTGATTCTAGAAAAAGAATCCACGGTAAATGAATAGGCTGACGTCACCACAATGGTTTAAGTCTAATTAAATCCAAATTTGAAGTTATGAAAGGGCCCATGCACTTACGTGGTTTCGTGTTCTATAGATATATTTTGGTCATTGTTTGCAAATTTTTGGACCCGCAAATATAGAGCGCATTCAAGTATAAACTAAATAGTTTTCAAAATTGTTTGTCTGTATGAACAACATTTTTCCTGTAATTGTTTCGTGGCACTTGCATGCGCTCAATATTTCGCAATGACAAATATGTGTAAAAATATACAAATGTTATCCTTTTTTGTAAATAAATAGGAATATTGATATTATTAGACGATAAAATCTCTGTGAATATTCTTGACATTTCAAATATATAACAATTCAAACTTTGCTCATGCTAAACAAATATATTTAAGCTAAAATCAACTAGTTTTGTAATATTCAATTTTTGTAGACCAAAAATTGACCTTCGTGCACGGCTCCTTTTGGCAGTAGAACTTCTCGTACTAAGTAGTACCAAAGAAAAAAAAAAGGCAGAAGGTACCAACATATAAAAAATCACAAGTTGAAGAAAAAATCACAATACAATGGCAACAAAAAAAAGAAAAGAAAAACAACAGTTTACAAATTAGTACACAGAAAATTGAAGATGGAGCAACACGAACCTCACAAAATTAGTAAATATTTTTAATTTTTTAACTGACATTCAATTGTTTAATGTATTCTTGCTTTTATCTTTACGACATTACAATTTAAATATTCCTTTTTTTAACTGATATTTAATTATTTAATGTATTTTTGCTTTTATCTATACGATATTACAATAACAGTTGTTAATGTATGGCGCTCTTCTATATTGTATATAGAAAAAGGGGTCCATACCCAAAGCACCTGTGATATGTATGATTAGGTTTTATGTTTCCAGACGGGTTTGACCAATCTGATTAAAATCGAATCCTGTGTCCAAGTTTTGATTACAAAGATCAGAAAACTATCCGCTCTACTTTCTGTTTCAAAGACTTTTCGGGATCCTCTGGTTTTGTCGAATTAATACATACGTTCAAAAATTTGAAGGCTGAAACTTCATTGGCTGATGTAATAATTACAAGAACAGAAAGTAAAACAGAGTGTTGTCAGATCCTTGTAAGCAAAGCTTAGACACAGGATCTGTGTATTTTAAGGGAGCTACCATTTGATTTTTATGGGGGGCTAGGATGAAATTTGAAAAAAATAGGCAGGACAGGAGTTTTGAGTAATAAAAAAGGCAGGATGAGACACTTGCAAAAAAAAAGTCAGGATGACAATTTAGGTAAAAATAGTCAGGATAAACTTTAAAAAAAAAAAGGTAGGACCGAATAGAGTGAAAAATAAAAAGGCAGGACAGAGATTACAACTAAAAAAAAATGCAGGACAAAATTTTTCATCCTAGCCCCCCAATAAAAATCAAATGGTAGCTCCCTAAGCAGATTGCGGTTTGACAATATAAACTTACTCGTTATAGGTACTTAAAGAGTCCAAACCTCATTTAAGATCCAGCAATAATCAACAATTAATTAACAAGATGAAGAAGTTGACAATGGAAAAAGAACTGGCTATTACCGTTGTCTTAATTATAGGTTAGTTGATATTATTCGGACGAATGGGTGACTTGGGAATAGAAATGTGGTCACATTGGTCTTCTTTCGACCGACAGCAAAACCCTTATTGGGGATCCATTTGTTTATGCGGGATGTACAATTTCGCTGCCATGTCTGGTGAGAATAAGGGCGTTAAGGGCATACGATACAGTTTTGTTCCAATGGTGATTTTTTACGACCATTTGCATACAATCTATTTTTCATTTCGTCCATTCAATTATGTAAGAAAAAATATACCTCTATGTGCTACTTTTAGAGATAAATGGGGTCGAAATAGTACACATTTACTCAAAATATTTGTTTCTTGGAAATTTCTGTCCTTTAGATAGACATACCGAACTTATTTGTTTCAAAATGTAAACACAAGCGGATTTTTGTGAAACCTTTTGGAATATTTTCTTTACATAAGTATACTATAAATTTGTATAAGAATTCTTTGGAACTGATTAATTTTCATTAAATTTTTATGATTTTTGAAAAAAAAATCGGCATTTTTTGCTGTACATTTATTTAATTTGAAAAAAAAAAATCAACGGTGATTTGTTTATAAGAATTGGTACAAATAATCTTTATACATAATCAAGCCAAATTTCATTTAGAAAAAGCGCGGTTCATATTTTCGTTTTAAAAAAAAAAATGCATCTTTTTCCAATATGTCACAGTTAGACGTCGCGAAAAATAACATTTTACATAAGCAACGTCATTAACTCCCCTGTAACTGTATCGTATGCCATTAAATCCGATGCCTCGTGTAATGGAGAGTGTCACGCTCTATGAACGTTAAGAACCCTCGCAACTACTTTTTGAGCAGTCTGTTAGGTGGCCTGTTGCAAGGCAAGAATTTCTGTCCCTATGGAATCTACCCTCATTTTCCAGTGGCAGTCTAAATTTCCACGAACTTCGTCCCGGACGGCCTCTATTACAGGACCTACTTATTTTATTTATTGTTAATTTGTTCTCATCCTGAACATGCATGAAATATTTGCCACTGAACGTTGAGCAACCAACAATCAATAAATCGGACAAATGGCGTGTCGTCAATGTTCTGGCGCCGTTTGATTTCAGGTTACCACAAGTTTTCTGTAGTATGGAAAAAAAAAGATCTCCAATTGACAGAAAATCTCTGAAATATTTTGTATTTATATATAAATTAAGTTGAAACGAGGTTAAAATGATATATAAATTGAGTGCCGCATATCATCTGAAGTTGAACAAGCGAACTTTTGTGAATAATTTAACATTTATCATGATTGTTTTTTTTTAATTGACAAAACGTAAACGAACCAACCTTATTGTTGAATTCCACTAATTAATACATAGGAACAGTTTGTTTGCACTGTATATGAGGGTCTAGAAGGAGTTTACAGCATAGAGAAAAATGGAAAAAATAATGAATAGAGAAAAGGAAGCCAAAAATAGAAAGAATAGAGAATAATAGGGTGCAAAAGTATAAAGAAAAGCAGTGGAAAATAAAAGAATTAGGTGATGCAATACTGATGACAGAAATGTACGATGTATAGAATAAAAAAAAACCCAGCTAATCACAGAAAGATTTATTACTTAAATCATTTTTATGAGAATTTTACAGAATAAGCGTTATTTTTAAAGATAAAGAAAAGTGCCTCAAAATTTTAAAGAAAACAGAAATTAAGGACCTCCTCTACATCCTGACCCTAGTAGATGTAGGTACAATGTAGTATCTAAAAGTTTAAATTCACGTATTTTCCCTGTGTACTCATATATGCAAATAAGGAGATATGGAATGATTGGTATTGAGGCAACAATTCACACGTCGAGACCAAAGGACGAGGATGTAAACAACTGTAGGACACTATGCGACCTTCAACAATTAGCAAACGACCATCAACAAATACAAAACGACCTTCAATAATTAGCAAACAACCTTCAACAATTAGCAAACGACCTTAAACAAATAGCAAACGACTTTCAACAATTAGCAAACGACCTTCAACAAATACCAAACGACCTTTAAGAATTAGCAAACGACCTTCAACAATTAGCAAACGACCTTAAACAATTAGCAAACGACTTTCAACAATTAGCTAACGATCTTCAACAGATATTAAACGACCTTCAACATTTAGCAAACGTCTGCCTTTCTTTACCTCTATTTTTTTCGAGTTTATATGAAACCAACTCTTTTACTCACATGCTTGTCTATCTTTGCTTTACTCAGTTCATGGACCTTACTTTTCCACTCACAACAAACAATCAATCAATCAACCAATCAATCAATCAGTTTGTCCTACCTAAGTGAAGTCTCTGTTTACCAAAAAATGAAATAAGGCAAAGTAGGTAATAAGAAAATTGTCACCCTTAGAGTGGGAACATGTTTGGTCCTAACCTCCATTGCTGAAGAATAATTTTGTCATGGGCTATACGTTACATGATTGTTCAGTAATGCGTTATTAAGAGGGTCTGGATTTGGGATCCTTCATTTTTGAATTCTTTTATTTTGTAGCTCATTTTTCTGTCTTCTTTATATTGATGTCAGTTGTTCTCAATTCTTTATATTTTAGTTAATTTGTTTTTTTTATATTTTAGTATCCTATTATTCTCTATTCTTTAGTTTCGGCCTGTTTGTTTTTATTCTCTATTTTTTGGCCAAATTTACGTTGTATTGACCCCTTATTCTCTATTTTTTTGGCCAAATTTACGTTGTATTGACCCCTTATTCTCTATTTTTTTGGCCAAATTTACGTTGTATTGACCCCTTATTCTCTATTTTTTTGGCCAAATTTACGTTGTATTGACCCCTTATTCTCTATTTTTTTGGCCAAATTTACGTTGTATTGACCCCTTATTCTCTATTTTTTTGGCCAATTTTCCGTTGTATTGACCCCTTATTCTCTATTTTTTTGGCCAATTTTCCGTTGTATTGACCCCTTATTCTCTATTTTTTTGGCCAATTTTCCGTTGTATTGACCCCTTATTCTCTATTTTTTGGCCAATTTTCCGTTGTATTGACCCCTTATTCTCTATTTTTTTGGCCAATTTTCCGTTGTATTGACCCCTTATTCTCTATTTTTTTGGCCAATTTTCCGTTGTATTGACCCCTTATTCTCTATTTTTTGGCCAATTTTCCGTTGTATTGACCCCTTATTCTCTATTTTTTGGCCAAATTTCCGTTGTATTGACCCCTTATTCTCTATTTTTTTGGCCAATTTTCCGTTGTATTGACCCCTTATTCTCTATTTTTTTGGCCAATTTTCCGTTGTATTGACCCCTTATTCTCTATTTTTTGGCCAATTTTCCGTTGTATTGACCCCTTATTCTCTATTTTTTTGGCCAAATTTACGTTGTATTGACCCCTTATTCTCTATTTTTTGGCCAAATTTACGTTGTATTGACCCCTTATTCTCTATTTTTTTGGCCAATTTTCCGTTGTATTGACCCCTTATTCTCTATTTTTTTGGCCAATTTTCCGTTGTATTGACCCCTTATTCTCTATTTTTTTGCCAATTTTCCGTTGTATTGACCCCTTATTCTCTATTTTTTGGCCAATTTTCCGTTGTATTGACCCCTTATTCTCTATTTTTTTGGCCAAATTTACGTTGTATTGACCCCTTATTCTCTATTTTTTTGGCCAAATTTACGTTGTATTGACCCCTTATTCTCTATTTTTTGGCCAATTTTCCGTTGTATTGACCCCTTATTCTCTATTTTTTGGCCAATTTTCCGTTGTATTGACCCCTTATTCTCTATTTTTTGGCCAATTTTCCGTTGTATTGACCCCTTATTCTCTATTTTTTTGGCCAATTTTCCGTTGTATTGACCCCTTATTCTCTATTTTTTTGGCCAATTTTCCGTTGTATTGACCCCTTATTCTCTATTTTGAAAACCCCATCCACACCCTGATTTAACTTTTGTAATTTGTCTCTTATTCAAAACTTTTTTCACTTTCTTAATTCGTCTCTTATTTAGATAACACATATTAAAAAAAGAAAATTGGTTACCGCTGACAAGAAAATTCGTAACCTATCAAAATCGAGTTTTTATCGAATCCCTGTCCTCAGTCTCATGGAGAGTCTGGATTGGGTTTTATAAAAAAAAAATTTGGACAAAAAGTGCGAGGATAAAGGGCAGAAATATAAAGAATAGAGAAAAATAGGCCGTAAAATTAAAGAATAGAGACTAATGGGGTGATGAATTAAACAGAATCGAGAATAAGGATAAACATTAAAAAAAGAATAGAGAAAATTGACTTAAAGAATTCAAGAATAAAGATAATCCCGTCCAGACCTTTCTTCTCGATTAAAAAATTAGCATTATTTTTGTAACTTCCTGTATTGTATAAGAATTACGAAATGTGCAAAATCGATGTTAAAAAAAGTCTTTCCTTCATTGTATACCGTAAATTGGGTTATTTTGGTTGTAGTTTTATTTTGGTTTATTTGGTGCCTCCAATGAAAGTGCCAAAATTAAACACATGAAAATAAAGCAAACACTAAAAATTGAAACGCCAATATTGCGTACTGGTACGACAATATCGTAATGTTAATTGTTGGGGAAAATATCATATCTTCCGTATATTTCCTACAATGTTATACAAAGCCAAATCTGCAAATAAATACCTGGTATAATTTGACAACACTATATAATTTTTACTTAATTGTCAATTTTCTCAAATTGTTATTGATAATGCATATAAAGAAGAAACGAATTCTATCTCTTTTTTCATTGGCTGTATTTTCAGGATTCTTCCTGTTATGTTACTCACCTTACGCAATCTTACTTCTTTGGAAACTTGCCAACAAAGACGTTGACATTGATCCTATGTTAATGGCCGTTCCTGCCATGGTAACCAAAATAGGTGGGATGTTTACGCCATTTGTTTATTTGGGACGTAATAAAAGCATTCGGTCTAAAGTCTTAGACTTGTACGCATGCTGCAAAACAAGCAATGCTGTTTTCCCGGAGATCGATGATGAAGAACCTCAAGTTCCAGAAATGATGACAAAATCACGTAAAATTAAAGCCATTATCAAAAATCTAACAAGCACAGAAATTAAATACAAGTCAGAAGAAAGCACAGAAGGTCACGTCGTGGCAAAGGTCATCCCGAGTGACAAATGTAAATCACTTGCATGTATACAAAGCAATGAAACACTAGAAGTGACGTCATCCAATAGTCTTTTAAATTTTAACATAAAACAGTATACAACAGTGTAGCCATATAATCCAAACTCTAGCCTAGACCGGAAGCTTGGGTAGCCAGCCATAGAATCGAAACTTTAGCCTAGACCGGAAGCTTGGGTAGAAATATGATGTGATGCAGATTGAGAATGTCGAAAAAGAGAGCTGAATGCCTGCTTTTAGTTTTAGATAAATATTAAGTGTCTGCAATGTACTTCACAAATAATTAATACAAGATGGTCTTGCGTTATTGATTTTAGGTGCTGAAGGTGTGTATCTTTTTTTTACGGAACAATTTTTCATTTATTTGTCTTTGTGCTAATAAGTTTCCTTTGGACGTAGGAATCTAAACTTGATTCGGTATTTGTGCATCCGGCTATCGGGTTTTTGAATTTGGGCGTTCCTGGTGCAGATAGAACGCAAGAGGTTATTATTACAGTGTTGTAACCTTGTATTTATATTAAATTTACGTAATTTGTAGTTTTATCGGGAAAGTGTATACTAGTACGACATTTTGTTTCTATTCACTGAATGTGCTATCAACTACAAAAACATTTTTGTTGGCGTCTTTGTCAGATTAACTATCAATTGCAATAACCTTTTTGTTGGCGTCTTTGTCATATTTATTTGTATGTTTGTTAGAATGTTTTAGTCAGTTGTGTTGTATGTCTGTGATGTATGAGTACACAGTTTTGGCTGCTGGATCCCAATTATTGTCACATTAACCAATTATCTCTGTTTGGGTTGCTCACCAAATTTTGTCACTATAACGGAACTATAAACAACTGTCATACAAGTGGGAGGTTTAGCAAGTTATAAACCATGTCTGGGCGTATGACATTTACGCCGATTTTATAAATTTTCAATCTTTCATTTGCGCCGATTTGGTTGTTTCATTTGCGCCGATTCAATAATTTCAAGTTCCATTTGCTCCTTTTTGTATTTTAGTGCTGTGCTTTTTTCATGGCGTAAAGAGGTTTTATTGTCCTTTGATATTTTAAAGGCTGTAAATAGATTTTTATATCATTTGATATTTTATTGCTATACTCAGTTATTTTAGTGGATGTAAACAGAGTGCTTTTAACCTTAAAATTGACTTGTTTTGCTCGAAATCCTACTTCCACCTCCCAATTGTGGGCAGGGGCAACAGATATATACATGTTTTAATTGATAATTCATAACATATGTATAACTGGCTAGCGGAAGAGGTTTATAATGATAAATAGAAATAGTTTACCCCTGTAAAACAATCGGCGCAGATGAAAGAAATAATCAGCGCAAATGAAATGCAGATCGGCGCAAATGCAAAATGCCGACCAGGTTTTACCCCTCATTTTCTCCAGAAAATGCCAGTACGAAGTCAGGAAGATGTTTTCCATACAGTTGCTTGAAAATTTCTAAAACGTTCGATTTTGTCGGGTTTTATGGACTTTCCCCTTTTTAAATTTTCTTTAAAAAACCATGAAAAAATAACAAGGATTTTATAAGATTTTGAAAAAAAAATAGCTTTTTAAACTATAGATATTAAAATTATGAAAAGAAAAGTAAGGGTTAGCGGGCAAAATATTTAATGGCACAACATGGATAAAACCAGAGGATTCCAAATATCTGACAAAAATTCTGAAACATAAACAGCTAACATCCTTAATGAATGGATGGTTTCATAATGGCCCTGTTATGTGTCCAAAGTCTGTAAAAATGGTCTGGGGATGCCTGTAACGCCGAGGAACATATTAGCATCCGAGGCCATTACTACTGATCGAGGACATATAATAGCCTAGGGCAATATTGTGAAAACACCAATTACTTAAAACAAATATTAACCACATAAACAGAGGAAATATTTGTTTAACCAACTTACGTAAATTATTGTTACAATGCAAAGTTTGAATTAAAATCGGTACCATTATGGATAAAACCGGTCATAATGATTTCTTTTATACTTTTTATACCAATATAGAACTAGTATTCAGACAATATTAACAGGAAAGATATTTGCGATGTAATTTTCTGTGATCAATGATTATTTATTTGAGTAGAATGATCCATGTAAACGGTTAGCCACTTTAAATTTTGTTTCGAAATAAACGTTGACCTATTTAGATTCTTTCTAGTAGCTTTAATGACTGTCATATCGACAGGCTCTAATTTAGGATACAAAAAGTACTTCTAGTGGCACATATGTCATGCATGTTTAGTACAACAATGAATAAAGCAATTATGATCTTCTTCAACTATTCAGTAAACACAATATTGTGAACTCTTTAGGTCAATGCAAAAATTGTGAAAGACAAAAACAGGTCATCCCTTTTTGAAATACACTCCGGCGTTTTTTTTATTTGATTAAAAAGTAAACATGACTAAATAGATCATTAGTTCTCAAATCAACAAAACTCGATAGAGCATTTCGTTAGGTATTAAATTCAAAATAGTATTTGTATATATACGCAGTGTAAAAACAAATCAAATATAAAACTGTTCTCAATAACTAAGAGGACTAATACCACATTTCTGTTACATAATGTACATAATACCGGAAGTTCGTGTCTATCCCGGAAATTGGTTTTATACATGTTCATAATTTTATAAGATTTGTGTGTTGGCTATAATGGAGGGTCTGGATAGGGATCCTGCAGTTCTATATTCTTTAATTTTTCAGACCACTTTCTCTATTCTTTGTTTCCCCCTTTATCCTCTATTCTTTATATTCCAACATCCTGTTATTCTCTATTCTTTTTTTGTTCGTTATTCTGCTCGTTTTGTCCATTATTCTCTATTCTGTAAACCCCATCCGTATCCTCATTAAGAAGTACAATAAAGGTCCTTAGTGCCATTTTATGTTTTAACGACTTCCTACAGAAGATATTTATTAATATAAGCATATTACATCATACGTTATTTAAGTCTCTGTAGTATTTCCTGCATTTAAAAATCAATTACTTACCATCATTACAGTAACAATATTTCTCAATAAACTTAGAAACTTCCGGTAAGTGTTCTGACGGTAAACAAAAAAAGGAGGAGATAACAATGGGGCAATCCAAAATTTTAAACCTCATAAAACCAGGAAACGTCATGACAATCACCCCCCCCCCCCCCCAAAAAAAAAAAATAAGAAGCAAAAACAAAACCCAACAGACCAAAAATCACTACAAAGAAAACTAAAGACTGAGTAACAGGTAACCGACCGAGGATGAACTGTCTGTAAGAAGATACATGTACCAAGTGGAAAATAAAAAAAAACAAAACAAAACAAAGAAAGCCAGACAACAAAAACTACTAAAAGGACAAACAGATGAACAGAGAACAGTACAAAGAAAACTACAACAGCATTTTGCTGACAGTTGATAGACTGAAAGATGACTTTGAGATGAAGAACAGCAATACTGGCGCTGTTCCTTTGCTTTTATGTGTTCTTTGCTGTGCATGAACTGATTTTGTGTCATTGATGGATACCCCATGCATATCCATTCTTTTCTATTAAACAAACTCATCATAGATACCAGGATTAAAATTTCATACGCCAGAGGCGTGTTTCGTCTACACAATACTCATCATTGACGCGCTAATAAAAAAAGTTAAATAGACTAAATAAAGTACGAATTTAAAGAGCATTGAGGACAAAAAATATAATTCACACACTAAAATTTGGACACACTAAGAATCATTCATGTCAAGTTTGGTTTAAATTGGCCCATGAGTTTCAGATGTACAGTTGTTTGAAATAAAAATGCAAAAAATGGATAAAAACATAATAGTTATCAGTCAAAGGAAATAACTCTTAAAAAAACACTCAACTGACAGTTTCATTTGACATTGAGCTTTTTATCGCTAAGGGATCTTAAATTTGACAGTTTATTAGAGATATGTTCACGGACTTTTTGTCTTGCAACATAATACAATGAACAAGCGAACTGAAAATCATGTGTTTCATCTTCAACCAAGCCCAGTGTGCAAAATTGACAGACACGCTCACATCGAGGCAATATCTCTGGTTTTCCTAACATGTTAATTTTACTCTTCAATTCGAAGACGATGATTGCTCAACATAAATCTGGCAAGCATATGACGTTTTTACAAGTTTCTTATGTTTAGGTAATTTTTATATTCAAAACATGTTACCATGCTCTTCCTCTAGATTTTTATTAATTTTCGTAGGTAACTTTAGAATCTATTTTCAGAAAGCACAATTGTTTCATGAAAGAGACACGTAGAATTGATCATATTAGCACTCTAAAATCAATAACAAAACTAAGAAAAAGTGTAAGGTGTCAACATACGTAATTTATAACGCTTTATATAGAAGGAATATAATTCCATAAATCAAGTATTTTTGTTTGACAGGTTAATAAATGTAGGTATGAGCTCGAAGTTGATGTACTCGTTCAAAGTTATATATAAATAACTGTCATATTCTAGACTTGGTACATGCATTTCCTTATGTAGTAAAAGGTTGGATTAAACCTGGTTAAATATGTAGAATGTAGTGTATGATAAATGGTAATATGACTGAGTGGTTTAATATAGATTCTGGGTTAAGACAACGTTATTTATTATCATCTATAATGTTAAATATACACACATAATTTGATTGATAAATTTAATCTATATAAATGTTTTTAAAATTGGCTATTTGTATTGACAAACAAAAAATAGCAACAATATTGTGTTTCAAGAATGCTGATTTTGTTATTTAATGGCATAGAAAAAAGAACATTTTTATCGAGTTAAACCATTTCAATTGATATTTTATATTGTGTCTTTTTATGTTGTAATGTTACACTACTGTCTCAGGTTAGGGTGAAGGTTTCAAAGTACGGTCTTCAACAAGCTCCGGAGCCTTGGCTCACACCGAACAGCAAGCTATAAAAGGCTCCAAAAAATTACTAGTGTAAAACCAATCAAACGGGAAAACCAACGGTCTAATCTATATAAAAAACGAGAAACGAGAAACACTTATGAACCACATCAACAAACGACAACTACTGAACATCAGATTCCAATTTCATCTTTTAATCATTGGTGGTAACCATTGTAATGTTACATAGCATGTGTCAACATATAAATATTTGGTTTACTGTTGACTGAATGCTTAGATTATCACTAAGTCTTACTGTTCTATTTATGTCTTTTTTGGTCATAAAGCACTTCAATTGTTTCGGTTCTTATACATACTTGAGGGTATGGATGGGGTTAACAGAATAGAGAATTATGGACAAAAAGTGCAGAAAAAAGGCCAACAAATATAAAGAAGAGAGAAAAATAGAACAAAATAATGAAGAATAGAGAATAATGGGGTACTAAGATATAAAGAATAGAGAATAATGGGTAAAAACATAAAGAATAGAAAAAAATTACTCAAAAAATTAAAGAATACATAATGCATGACCCTCCATCCAGACCCTCTAACCCGAACAATCCAGTCGTTATATTCCGACTCATTATCGATCGCTACATTAACCTCGAGAGGACACTTACCGATAGAGGGCGCTGAATCATTCGACCCTCATACTTGGCTTTCAAATATTCGTTTTTGAGAGTTCCTGTTGAAGGTAAATCCAGAAAAAGCGTGTTGGAAGCATGCAATTATAAAGTGTTAACTTTTTCCTTTTTTCAATTGGCTTTAGCAGTAACCAATTCAGAAAGTATGGCATTACCATCTATTAGTTAATTGTGAAGAGTAAAACTCACGGTTTCCAGCACAATCTACAATGAAATGGTAAAAAAAAAAAGAAAAGAGAAAAATAAACAAAAAATAAAGAATAGAGAATAATAGGTCAAGCTTATAAAGAATAGGGAGAAATTATAGAACCTCTTTATTCTTTGACTTTTAATACCATTTTTGAGGGGCCTGATGGGGGGGGGGGTCTCATCACCATTCACGAGTCGATTTTTTTATAAATCACGATTCACAGAAGAACGAAAATAACCCATCAGGCCCCTCATTTTTCTCTATTCTTTGTTTATTTGAACATTATTCTCTACTGTTTATTTATGTTGACTATTATTCTCTAGTCTTTATTCTTTTTTTACCATTTTACTCTATCATTTTTTTTGCCTATTTTTCTTAATTCTATATATTTTTGTCCTTTAGTCTGCACTTCTTGTCCATGTTTCTCTATTCTCTAAACCCAATGCAGACCCTCACATATGGGATATAATTTCTGGATATGTTTTGTAATAAACAACTTCATTTTAAAGACAGATATCCTGGAACTATCGCCTTTACCGATACACCGGTTTCAATATATGGTACCACAACCAGCAATATCCGGTGTACGGGGATACACGATGCTAATGGTATGATCAGTTATTAATTATGGCACAATTATTGGGTCTTGTGTCATTTAATTTTCATCTTTGAACTTGTTTTCTGCCTAGACTCACAAGACTTGCTTGACAATATGTAAAAAAAAATTATGACCAATTTTAAATTAACTTGAGTTAAATGGTAAATCCATTTTACATGATCACGATTTTTTTTAATTTCAATTTCTAGAAGTTGATTAAGATAAATTGGGTTGAGTAAAAGAAATATGATATTTTTACTAAATTAGGAATGAAACATGAAGTGCCAAATCTCATTATTGAAGTTATTAGAATAACAACACCGAGCTATTTTAATACAAAAAATAACACTTACTCTTCATTTTCAAAACTGTACGATATGATCAATTTTTAAGATGTCATTATCTGAGGGTCTGGGTGGGGTTTACAGAAAAATTAATAATCAACCAAAACTACAGAAAAATAGTCCAAAAAATAAAGAATAGAGAAAAAAAGGCCAAAAACAAAGAATAGAGAAAAATAGGCCAGCAATAAAGAATAGAGAGTAATAGGTCAAACTTATAAAGAATAGGGAGAATGGTTTAAAAAATTAAAGAATACATAATTTTAGGACCCCCATCCAGACCCTCATAATTTCTTCTTGCCAATATATACGTACGATTATCAATACATATTCATACCGATATTAGTTACACAAGTGTTACGTCCTTTCTTTCTTTATTCTTCAACTATAATATAATTTTTCCATTCTTTGTTTATTTTGACCATAATTCATTATTCTCTGTTCTTTTTTTTGGAACCATTTTTCTCTGCTTTTTATTTTTTTGTCTATTTTTCTTAATCTTATATATTTTCCCTTTTAGTCGGCACATTTTGCCCATTCTTCGCTATTCTGCAACACCTAACAGACCCTCACATATGGGATATAATTTCTGGATAAAGTTTGCAATATTCAACTGCATTATGAAGATAGATAATCTGGTACTAGCGCCTTTACCGATACACCGGTTTCAATCTACGGTACCACAACCAGTAATATCCGCTGTACGGGGGTACCCAATGATTGTGGTAAATTCAGTTATTAGTTATGGCAAAATTATCGGGTCTTGTGTCATTTTAGTTCTGTCTTTGAACATGTTTTCTGCCTAGACTCACATGACTTGCTTGGCAAAATGTAAAATTAAGACCAATTTAAAATTAACTTTTAAAATTAGTAAAATGGTAAATCCATTTTCCATGTTCATGATTTTTTTAATTTCTAGAAGTTGATTAAGATAAATTGTACTGAGTAAAAGAATTATGATATTTGTACTAAATTAGCAATGAAACATGAAGTGCCAAAACTCGTTGTTGAAGTTATTAAAATAACAACACCGATCTATTTTGATACAAAAACTAACACTTACTCTCCTATTTTCATTTACACTTTAATTCCAGAAGTAGTTTATTAATTTATTTTTATAAACAACAAACCTTTTGGATGACAGCATTACATAATGACAAAAAGGAGTATGCAACAGCTGATATTTGATAGTTGTATAAAAAAGTTTTGTTATTCTATTAACTTTTTTTTTATTTTACCAAATGATATTAAATTTCTGAATGACTGAATGAGTATCGCAATAATAAGAACTCGCATTCTTATATCTGATATATATAAATGTATGCAGATTTTCTTGAAATTGGAATACTTAATCTCGCATTTTAGTCCATTCTACGAAATTCGCAATGATAAATGCACGCAATAGTTTCTGAATAGTAAGTACGACATAATACTGTTTGAATCTCAAAGTACACATGTAAGAAAGAAAGAAAAAAAAAATGAAAACAACACTTTATAAATTTCATGCTTCCGAATCGTTTTTTTTTTCATTTTCTTCATCAGGAACGCATAAAGCCGAATATTTGAAAGTCAAGGACGTATAAGAACGGAAATAGCTAAAATGTTGTATGACCAAACAAAGGGCATACAAATAATAGTCAATTTCATGTAAGGTCAACTTTGCCTGAGGGAGTTGAAACCTTAGTTTCGTAATAATTTATTAATCTATAAACGTACAATTCAAGAGATGTCATGCAGAGTGAATTCGAGTAAATATTTGAAGACTTTTGTTTTGCTCCGAGTGTTCAGGAGAAATTTGCCCTATCTCTTTGTCAGCTCAAAGTAGAACAAACAAGAATGTGTCCATAGTACACGGCTCCCTCACTCGCACTATCATTTTCTATGTGGCAGTGGACCGTGAAATTGGGGTCAAAACTCTAATTCGGCATTAAAATTAGAAATATCATATCATAGGGAACATGTGTACTAAGTTTCAAGTTGATTGGACTTCAACTTCATCAAAAACTACCTTGACAAAAAACTTAAACCTGAAGCGGGACAGACGGACGGACGGACGGACGGACGGACGAACTGACGCACAGACCGAAAAACATAATGCCCCTAGGTGGGGCATAAAAAGAAGTTGGTTTATTGAGACCCCAATTTGACTCCTATTTTTATCTAGAATTTCTAATTATTATATTATCACTATTACACGAAAGTATCATAGTTATAACAATGACTAGATAGAAAGATGAATTTCTATTTTTGAACATGTACTTATGTTACTGGTACTAAGTGCACGTGGTACATTTATTGATCAGTATTATTTATATGGCGTAACAATTGGTGTCAATTTCATTCTCCATCAGTTTAAATAAAAATAGGACAATTTAAATTGGTTTTAAGGACTGGAAATATAGAGAGCATGCATCCACCAAAATGAAATACCACTTTCATATAGTCGAAAATATGACTGCAGCTAACACATAAAACATCTTCAAAGGAATAGTATATGAAATAATAAGATGTGATATAATTGCCAATGAGACAATCTCCACTAGACACCAAATGACGTAGAAGTTAACAACTATAGGTCATCGCACGGCCTTTAATAACGAGAAACACCCATACCGCATAGCAAGCTATAAAAGGTCCCGAACTTACAAATGTAAAACTATTCAAATGAGAAAAATAACGGCCTGATCTATGTACAGAACAATAAAAGAAAAATAAAATATGATACACAGCAAAAGAGTGGCGAAAGATTTGATTTTTGATTTTTGGTGTTTTAACGCCACTTTTAAGCACTGCTTTTGGGCTATTTCGTGGCGGCCAGTTTTTATTGGTGGAGGAAGCCGGATTGACCGGAGAAAACCACCGACCTTCGATAGGAAAACTGACAATCCTAGTCAATTAAGATTGGAGTCGAGTGCACCTGCACGAGCGGGGTTCGAACTCACAACCTCAGTGTTGACTGGCTGTGATTACATTAGTAACTACTTAGACCACTCGGCCACCGAGGTCCCTAAAGAGAGGCGAAAGATACCAAAGAGAATTTAAACTCATAAGTCGAAAATAAACCGACAACGCCATGACCAAAAATGAAAACAAGACCAAATGATTCAAACGACAACCACTGAATTACAGGCTCCTGACTTGGGACAGGCATATAAAGAATTTTGACGGGGTTATACAAGTTTGCTGGTTTGTTTATATAGGTTATTATTGATCGCAGATTATATCATAAAGATGGGCATCCCCTGATAAAGAATTACAGACAAGAAGTATATCCTTCTGTATATGTAACGCAGATGGCTTGTTTATACCATCATCACTGTCCAATAGAATCTTACTGCTTTGACCATCTGAACATATGGCCATAACCTTGTCCGATCCGTGACATGTAACATATAAAAATCGATTGTTGTCAATAGCAATTTGGTGAGGTTCCGATAACAGTTCATGTTGGAATGCCCAAGATAATTTTCCGAACTCTGTGCAGCATATCACTTTATTTTCGTTCCGATTTGAACAAAGCATCATGTTTTCATGCTGTACAACATATGAAAAGTTTGGAGACGGAATTTGTATTTTCCGGGAAATATTTCCAAAAATGTCCATAATTTGAACAATCTTCGAATTTTCAAAAGACACTAATATTTTTTCGTTACAGAAATCGATACTGTAACAGTTTTCCTTCATTTGAACTTTTCTTATCTCTTTATCTTCACGCAGGTCAAGGACAACAAATACATTTAACGACCACAAAGTAACCACTATCGTATAATCTGCAACAACGGCCATATCTGATGGTCGTCCGCATAATTTGATGTTTCTGTTATGTGTCCCATCAATGTTATGTATCACAAGTAGACTGTTCTGAAAATCCGCAAAAACGGTTTGCAATCCTGGCAAAATAGCACACCCCGTTATCACCATATTGTGTTCACTTTTTATTTTTATATACTTACGTCTTTTAAGCTTCAAATGAGTTATAGTTCTTGATTTCTTTTCTGTTGGTATTATTGAGATGTTTGGCGTTGATTGAATAGAAATCGTACCTAATGATTTTATCTCTTTTAGGATAGATAGAAACTTAGGTTCCATCGTCAATTCCAAGTCTACTTTACATAATTTGTTATCTTTTTGTAAAGTCTGAAGATCCATTTGGTCATCTTCTACTTGCTTCGACAATATTCTTACTCCTAAAAAGGCTTGTAGATCTGTAGCATATTGGTTCACGAAAGTCAGATCCATATCAATCCGCTTCAAATCGGTGTTTTTGTCATCTAATAAGGATAGTTGTTCATTCGTGTTTCGTCTGGCTTCATTGTACTTGTAGTCCAAGTCTTCAACGATATCTTTTTCCAAGTTATCAAAGTGTTCGTTTAAAGACCGGCGAACATTTGCAATTTCCAGCAATATGGATGATTTTTTACTGTATAGGCTTTCACGGTTTTCATTTGTATTTTTAATTAAATTTTCAAGTATGTGGGACAATGCCTGTACTTTATGCATTAAATCTGTAAATAGAGTAGTTTGTTTAAATTCCTTTACGAATGTGTGGAGAAAACTGATTCCTTTGCAAAGTTCATGGCCATTTCTATAACATTTCATACAACATGCCATATTATGATCTTGACAATACATTTCTAATTGCTGGCCATGAATTTCACACAAGTTATTCATCGATAAAGCAAATTTGGGAAATTGAACATATTCAGATAGTCCCATTGACGGGTGCTCTGTCATTGTTTTGTCATGTCTTTGTCGACATTTCGTGCATAAAATCTTTTCGCATTCCATGCACCATATAATACCTAATCTATGTTCGTGCGAAGAACAAAATATTTTTGACATGTCTTTTTCCATGGCATCAAGCTGCAATATATAAAACTGCATTAATATATTTCTGTATTTTTTTTTTTGCATTTTACACGTAATATATAGGTGGATCTGGATGGGAAAGTCTTCCTTTTTATATTCTTAAATGTTTCAGGCCATTTTTTCTTTGCTCTATTTTTTATACGACCGCAAATAAATTTTGCGGTCGTATATTGGTATGACGTTGGCGTCGTCGTCGTCGTCGTCATCGTCGTCCGAAGACACATTGGTTTTCGTACAATAACTTTAGTTTCAGTGAATGAATCTCTATGAAATTTTACCATAAGGTTCAATACCACAAAAGGAAGGTTGGGATTGATTTTTGGGGTAATTGCCCAAAACGTTTAGGAATAAGGGGCCAAAAAGGGGCCAAAAATAAGCAATTTTCTAGTTTCCAGACAATAACTTGTGGAACAGTGTCTGGATCTCTCTGAAATTATACCACAAGTTTCCATACCACAAAGGGGTGGTTAGAATTTGCTTTGGGCGGTTATAGCTCAAACCGTTTAGGAATTAGGGGCAAAAAAGTGGGAAAAACAAGGGTGTCCTGGTTAATGGACAAATCCTTTAGTACAAAACACAATTTAAAGCAGTGTAAACTGGGGGGGGGGGGGGGGGGGGGAATGGGGGGTCAAAAGAAATTGTAGGGGGTCAATTTTTTCTCATTTCAGATTTCAGAAATTAAAAAGAAAAATTCTTCAAATATCATGTTTTTGCATAAAAAAGGTGTGTGTGTGGGGGGGGGGGGGGGAGGTGTTAATACGCAACAGCATAGTGTATTGCACAAAAGCAAAGAAAAGGGGGATCAAATTTTTTATTTTTTTTTGTGGGGGGAAAGGGGGGGGGGGTGTCAAGTCGAAACAGCAAAGTGTATTGCACAAAAGCAAAACATTGAATATAAATTCAAATCATATAACCAAATCTAAGTTCTTTGACTTCAGTTATTCTGTGTCAAAAACCTTTTATGTGTTAAATATTTAATTACAATCCAAATTCAGACCTGTATCAAGCGCGAAAATTGCGTCTATTCCACGATAAACAAATATGATAGACAGCAACAAACACCAACCACTGAATGTTCCTTTGGTATCTTTCGTCTTTCTATTACCTGCAATGAGCAACGCGATTGGTGCCCCAAGCGGGACAGAAATTGCTTACACATCCGCGGTACCCGCCTTTATCTGGAGTATTATCGAAGTTTGTGCTTCACAATCTATTGTTTACTGTGTTGTATTTTGTGATTTGTTGCTCTTCCTTTTTTTTAAATAGTGTTGTCTGTCATTTTTGACTAATGGTCGAGGGTTCGTATTCTTTTGATTTTCAGGGCATTTTGTCTTTATCTTTAAAAATAATGCTTATTCTGTAAAATGTTCATGCAAATGCTTGCACTATTCATTTTTTCTGCAATTAGATGATTTTTTTATTCTGTACATCGTTCATTTCTCAAATCAGTATTTTATTACTTAGTCCTTTTATTTTTCAATGGTATTCTTTTTACTGTGCACCCCTTTATTCTCTATTTTTTTGATATTTTTTGCTACTTTTTCTCAAATCATTATTTATTTTGGCCATTATTCTCTATTCTGTAAACTCCATCCAGACCCTCAGTACGTTTTTCCTTTAGCTCATCGCACCGGTCAATCTCCGGCGCAGAGTTATATATCCGTTACTTATATACTCCGCAATACCACTTAAGATGTCATATTAAGTGTAGTGTTACGTAGTATTGAACGGAACGGATACGAGCTCTGCGCCGGAGATTGCGCACCGGTGTGAGCCAGAAGTTCTGTTCCCAGTATAAAATTTACTGTCTTCACCGAGTAACCAAACTTTAGCTATTATACAAATTCCCCATTGATAAAACTAAGAAGTTATAAAGAAACTAAAGTTCTTACTCCCTAATGCAAAGTTTAGTTAAGTTTAATCCCATGGTAGCGTGTTTGCCTCGAGGTCGTGGGTTTGAACCACGGCTGGGTAAAACAAAAGACTTTAAAATTGATATTTACTGCTTTTCTGGTAATCTCGCGGCATTAAGGAGTAAGAGCAAAGACTCTGAGTCAGAAGAATATACGTATTCGGGTAGGGTGACAAATCATCCTGCCGACTGTTACTTTGTGAACTAGCATGCACGTTAAAAATTCCGGCTCAGCGTTTAGGTCAAAATAGAGTAAATAATTACATGTATTTAATTTGCCACTGGATGTTCAACAGTCATCCGTCATCATCTAAACTCAAATGATGAATAACACTTACCTCTTTCAACTCTTTGTACTTATATTATACCCAGGTTGTGTGATATTCTACAGTTCAATATTCTTCATTGTTATTCTTTTAATTCCTTTAAGAACTCATGATGTCGCATAGCTGATCCGATTATAATAATACGCCTTTTAATAGATATTACACATATATATATATTTGTCGGAGATTTGATCCGATTGCATTATATTAACAAGTCATTTAAAAAAGAACAATACATATTAATTTGCATTTTAAAAGTTCTATGGTCGATATTCAATTATATTACATATTCCATCAAACCTCGTTTAAATTTACCTTTGAAAGTCAGATCATCATTATATCATTTTGTACTCTGTTCGGAAGTACTGAAATTGTTTGTTAATATTTTTTTCTTAAATTACAGATGTCTTATTAGAATTGTGTAATAATACATTTGCTGTTTGCATGCTATGAAATTCTATTGATTACTATTGTATCTTAGGAGAAGACGGTATAAGTTAGACTAACTTGTGTGACACTCATCCTTTTTGTGATATTTTGCAAATAAAATGTGTTTAGACTATAAAACTACTCAAATTCTTTCTATCCGTCATAATTTGTTGACAGACGTTCTTCTTTGTCATGTGAAATCGAGGGTAATCAACATATTTCGATCGATTGCACATTATGTGATATGAACTACACCTGCATTATATGATAAATAAATTTCGATCGTATAATTAAACGCAGTGTAATAAAAACATACATGTCCGTCTATGTTGTTTTTCCTGCTGTGTGATTTTTGTCGGATGATACTTTAACAATTGAATAAAAATTTGCAGTTTCAGAATACGCGCATTTATGGTAATATTTTCAAAAGCTTGTGATTGGCTGACAACGTCCTAAACAATGGAATTTCAACCAATGACGTGACGTTATTTACATTTTTGTGTACGAAAATGAAATTACCCATCATCCTTTAGATTATGAAGCGGCGAAGTATTTATTAGTACATGTTGGTCTGGCGTATTTAGTACTTATCGGCAGATATGCTTCAACTAGGCGTTACAACATTTTAATTTAAACGTTTCCATTTGTTGCATTCAAAGCGCTTTTCTAGATCTACCCTCAGCAGGAAAGCTCACACCCAAAAAATTAAAGCCAATGATGCATAACTACCTAAACACGGGAACAAAGATGCAACTTAAATTAGAAGAGAGTAAAAGCAGCAATATTGTATACTTGTTTGAAAATCAATAAAATGATTGCGTTAATTCTTTGCAGAAGATGCAAAGTACCTGTCAAGGTAAATATGTATATGAATGTTAAGCTACATAATTTAGCTATTTTACGGTACTATTTTGTGTCTAGGCACACGTAAAAACTGAAAGTTGGAATAGATATTCCATAAGAATGTTTAGAAAAATCCTTTTTTTTTCGTGTAATAAAAGTTGATGTTCAGAGATATTGTTATTGTTGTGTTATTAAAATAATAAATTCCCAGATATTAATGTCCTTTCAAAAGGCAACATCTACAGGTGATACACATATTAGATTAAAAAACCCAGTATTTTATGACAAGATTTTTTATTTAGATATTGTTTTTAATTCTGATTATTGAAATTATTAAAATTATCTGCGATGAGTGAAATCTGAGCAGGCTTGGTTTATAGTTGACTTCATAATGACAATATAAAATCTGGTATATTAAGTAGTGTTTCACAACATAATATGATGCAAACTTTCCTGTTTTGATCTTCGCTTTTAATTTCCTCTTCTCTTTAATGTTTCACAAAGATTGTTTTGTCGTCCTAGGCATAGGTGTAAATGAATATAACACGGGGTATAAGCACCGTAATGTTGATTCCGGACGTTGCTAAGTATCGAAGCGAAGTTGATGAATATGTAGGACTCGGAGGTGCGATTTGGACCCTGAAGTGCGATGGTCACGCTGAAGTGCGATGGTCACGCTGAAGTGCAATGGTCCTTTCGCTGATGTGCGATCGTCTATAAGATACATGATGGTTAGTTAAAAATCTACAGGTGTCAAATTATTATGTGAAAATTTGAATTTTTCTATTAGTAAGTATATAAATACCAAACATTCAATATTTTATCCAGTTTCTGTAAAAACCATCTACGGTGCTCTATCTTGTTTCTTGTTCTCATTCACTGCAGCCGTATTCATTTTTCGCGTAATTTGTTTCGTTTTGACTAATCAAGTAGTATTTGTATTTCAAACAACTTCCACATTTTTCAGTCATTGCAATTAGTACTGGTTTTAAAGGAAAATAACATACGTATGTAGCTTCTATATGATAGTGGTCAATATCTGAACGATTGTATGAACTATTGCTTTTTTGTCTTAAGCTTTTTCAAAGTACACTACATAGTTACAGTTAGTACTGGAAATTCAATGATTAGTTATCATGACTGTTAACGGGTTATAACACTCTCGATGTTTTACTTTTAAAATCTGAAAAGCTACTTCTAACAAACAAATTGACTTCTGCATCGACATGTGAGCATGAATAAAACATTGAAAACTACAGCGTTAGCACAATCACAGTTCGGCTTAGCTATCAACAAGATAACGTCACAATGCCACCATCGCACTTTAGCGTGATCAAAAACGAACTTCAGCGTCAAACCATCGCATTTCAGCGTGACCATCGCGGTTCAGAGTACCATCGCGGTTCAGAGTCCTACACATATTTAGTCAGAACAATTTTCTTCAAAGACAAATTGCCGCAATAGTAAATAAATATTGTTTATACAATTTTTGGTAAATATTTACATGCTTCAAATTACATAAGCACGGCCTATTATCGAATTCACTTGTAAAAATAGTGTTAGGCAATGTATGACAAATATATGTTGAAAAACCTCGTCCGTAATTATAAATTATGTAATTCATTGACCGCTCCCGACATGTGTAACTTCATAGCATATTTTAGCGGCGATTGATGTCTTTCAAAATTACTGCACTTTTCTTGTATCCCTGGTGCTTTCGACTGGAGAACCGTCGTACACAAGCATTGCACAAGTTGGCACTACGAGACGGGTGGGGAGCAAGAAGGTGAACTGTGGTTTATTTTTATCAATAGTACCGCTTAAGTCGACGCTAGGGGCCGTCTTGACCTTGTTGTAGGGTTTGAATGATTCGTTCATTGTTGAAGACCCTAAATCAACTGTCAAGATGAAGAACAGGAATAAAAGTCCTGTTCATTGATAATTTTTTATGTTTTCTATGTATTGTGTGCGATTTTGTCCCATGTACATTTACTCCATATTCTTTTATTTATCATCTTCTCTGTATTATTTCCCTTTCTTTTCGATTTATGGATTGATTGTTAATGTTTTAATGCTACTTCTAGCCCTTTTGGCTGTATCATGGCGTCCATTTACTATTGGTGAAGGAAGCAGGAGTGCCGGGTAAGAACCACCGACCTTCGGCAGGAAAATGACAATCCTAGTCAATTAAGATTTGAATCGAACGCACCTGCCACGTGTGGGCATCGAATTTACAACCTCAGTGATAACAGGCTACCTACGGTTGTTGCCCTGCGTAGAACACTCGGTCACCGAGACCTCCAAATCAACAAAGAAGTTGAAAAGCCTTAAAAAAAATAAATAAAAAAATATAAAAAACAAAAAACAAAAACAACGTTGTTCTAACTTTTGCTGAAGCTATCTATGACTGACGTATGGAAAAACACCTTAATATTTTGCATGTTTTAACTTTTTAGTAAATAAATAGAAATGTACAATAGATCAAAGGTGACAGACTAAAGTGACGTCATTGTTCAAAAAGAATTTTAATAAGAATGAAGTAAACACACAAACACACTATCAACTTTATTTTCAGCTCCACTCACATAAGTCACGCGAAACTGAATAATTGAAATAACATGCGCCTTTTATGTTAATTGTAAATAAACTCATCATAGATACCAGGATTGAAATTTGGTATTTACGGCAGACGCGCGTTTCGTCTACAAAAGACTCATCAGTGACGCTCGAATAAATAAAAGTTAAAAAGGCAAATACATTACGAAGTTGAAGAGCATTGATGACCAACAATTCCTAAAAGTTTTGTCAAATACAGCTCATGTAATCTATTCCTGAGGTAGAACAGCCTTAGTATTTCAAAAATTCAAAGTTTTGTAAACAGTTAATCGATAATTATGACCACATCAATGATAATTCATGTCAACACAGAAGTGCTGAAAACTGGGTAACTGATTACAAATTTCACAAATTTAAGATTCGATATGTTTATGTTTGTTTTCTATTGTTTGTATGGAATATTCCTGGACGTGTCACACGTTCTATTTATAATAGTTTTGAGTCTTTAATAGAAACTTGTTCATTTGTTAACGTGTTAAGTGTTTGGTGACAAACCTTCACACTTTGTTTTACAACATTAATCAATACTGGATGCAGAGTTTAGCATCTTAAAACAATAACATGGATTTTGCAAAAAATATGTAAATCTGTAACTTAAATTTTGTCTAAGATCACTATCAATTCAATCTATCAACAGCTACCAAACGAGAGGATTTCAAACTTAAAAGGTAGGCTATTTGTCATTTTTAAAGTATACAAAAGACTAAGGTAATACCATATTTATCAACTGTTTTTCAAACTGTCAACCGATAAGATATTTTAACACTGTTCACACTCAGTGACAATGGGAATAAATCATTTACTCAAAATCAATTCATATGAGAAGATCGTAGATACATTTTCAATCATGAAGACGACCTTGAAGTTAACAAATGTATAAATCCTTTATTAGATAATAAATTTTGGGAATAATTTTCTTCTTTGTTTTGTTTTAAAATCTAACCGGCCATACAGATTGGTACAGTCCTAACCTGCACAACAGGTTTACTTGATAACCAGTCATTTTGTATAACAAATATATATTTACCAACACTGTCTATAATTCTCCTTAATGATGCATAGTATACGCCAGTATCATAAACCAGTAAATTTGGTCACTCTGAATGGCTTTTATTATATAAATGACAGCAGTAGCGGTAGAGACAAGGAATATTCAAATGTGTCGCCTTTAATTAACAGAGCCAACATTTCTACTTTTTGTTCAAAATACTAAACCGATTGTTTGTATAGTAAAAAATTCATCAA